AAAGCAACAAAGAGAAACCAGGGCAAGAAATCGCCTTCCTGACGGCAGAGAGGGACTCTGAAAACTCAGAAGCGCGAAGGCATGAAGCTGCATTGTAAAGGAGACGGGACTAACGAGGACGGAAGGCCACGGCCCGCGCTCTGGCGAGGCTGGGAAGAAGCGGTGTGAAGCTCCCGCGCCCTGCCGGGGAGCGGAGGATGCTGCCGGCAGCTCCCCGCGGAGCCTCCGGACCCTCCCAGCTGCGGGGCAGCTCGGCTGCAGGGCTCCGCGGACGCTTTCCGCCCCTCCCCGCAGGCTCTTGGCACCAAGTTCCAGTTTGTACCCCGTTATTTCAGACAGGATTTTAAAATTCTCTTCTATATGAACTGCTGCTAACCCAAGAGTAACTGGATAACTGAGAGTAATTAAGCAGTTAAATAACATCACACTAATCTCATCTGTACTGCTCACTACCGCGGAGCAGTCAGGGAAGAGAGAAGAGGAGGGAGATGGACGCGCATGTGCACTCACAGTCTTACCCCGAATCATGCTCCCTGACCTGCCAAGTATTTGCTGGTCCAAATCCCTCACGCGCATTTTTGAGACACTTATCTTTTCACACGGGGTTGGACCCGCCAGGACAGACCAGCGCGGCAACTCACCAGCACACACGGGCAGCAAGTTCGCCCACAGCAGCGTTCTTTACTGAGGGACTGAAGCAGAAAAAAAGAGAATAATAATAAAAAAAAAGCCCAAACAAAAATAATCTGCAGTTCATGAAGTTCTGTTCACGACTTCCCGCGTGACCTGCCTGTCGGACAGCAAAACTGCTCCGTCACCTGCAGGGACAGCCTGAAGCAAAGCCTTCGCGCTTTGGAGCCTTCAGAGCAGGCTCTGTCCTCTTTGCACATACCCGGCACGGACTTCAGGCGGTGGACAGGTATTTAGAGACGTTTATCGGCTCAGTATCATTCGACACCTTCAATACATGAAGTACAAGTACCTCTTTCTGCATAGGCTTGGTCTTGAAGAAGCAAGGTCCTGCAAGTCTGAGGGACTTAGAATCATAGAATCATTACGGTTGGAAAAGACCTCTAAGATCATCGAGTCCAACCGTCGACCCAACACCCCCAGGCCCACTAAACCATGTCCCTACGCGCCTCATCCACACGTCTTTTCAATACTTCCAGGGACGGGGACTCCACCCCTCCCCTGGGCAGCCTGTCCCAACGTTTAACCACTCTTCCAGTAAAGACAGTTTTCCTCACGTCCAATCTAAACCTCCCCTGGCACAACTTGAGGCCCTTTCCTCTCGTCCTATCGCTTGTTCCTTGGGAGAAGAGACCGACCCCCACCTCGCTACAACCTCCTTGCAGGGGGCTGTAGAGAGCGATGAGGTCTCCCCTCAGCCTCCTCTTCTCCAGGCTAAACAAGCCCAGTTCCCTTCACAGGATCATCTCCCATCATAGAACACGTTTCACAACAGCTACATGCAGGTGCTTCCTTTGCTAAAGTTCAGTTTATTTTAGTGCTTTACTGATCAGCGGTCTGAAGACACAAGGATTTCTGGAGCAGCTATGGCACAGGTACAACTCGTAGTATCACCATCAGGTAGAACCACAAAGTCTCTCATTTTCCTTGGACACGTAGGAACACTTCTTTACTCCTCTTCCAGGAACGTAATTCAGCCAAAGTCAACTACCCAACGTCTGAAGGAGTGGCAGAGAAAATGGTGGATTTTAAAAAACAGTCTTTTAAATAAATTTCAAGTGGCTAGGTGAAAAATAAAAGCTCAAAGCAAAGTCAGTCCAGATCCAGACAGCAATCCGCTGTCAAGAGCACGCCAGCCAGAGACACAGGCTGAGCAGCGAGGAACGTTCAAGAGCAGACTACAAAGTTCAGCCATGCCGCTGAGTGCTCCACAGGCTTTGACCTACAGACCAGAACAAACTAGGGAGAAACAACCCAAAATAAACAAGCGAACTCCATCACCAAGGAGAAACAGCAAGGGACAGTGACCTCCCTGGCTGCCCGCAGTAACAGCGGGCATGCTAGCGCAGTGCTGGAATAGGCTTTGCTCCCCTTCACGGCCTCGGCTTTACCTGCCCGAGGCTATCGTGAGACTGCAGAGGCCGTAGGAAAAAGGTGGCCGAAGGGAGCGTAACAATCCACAGGATCACTGCAGCCTGCACCATGAGGGTCACTGCTTCGTCCACAGGATCACTGCAGCCTGCACCATGAGGGTCACTGCTTCGTCCACAGGATCACTGCAGCCTGCACCATGAGGGTCACTGCTTCGTCCACAGGATCCCTGCAGCCTGCACCATGAGGGTCACTGCTTCGTCCACAGGATCACTGCAGCCTGCACCATGAGGGTCACTGCTTCGTCCACAGGATCCCTGCAGCCTGCACCATGAGGGTCCACTGCTTCGCCACAGGATCCCTGCAGCCTGCACCATGAGGGTCACTGCTTCGTCCACAGGATCCCTGCAGCCTGCACCATGAGGGTCACTGCTTCGGGGCGGTACGGAGCATATGCAGCCTGTGAAATTGCACCTGCCGAGAGCTCTGTGAAGCAGCACCAGAGAGAGATCTCTGGAATGAATTCCCTCCCTAGTCTCCACTGTGATCCAGAGTTAACAAAACACAATAAATCACACCAAACGCAATCCCCTGGTGTTAACTATACAGTAAGAACATTTATTTCATGTTGACACTTGTAAAAGAAGTCTCTTCCACATCAGATGATTTGATATACAAATCAAAGCCACCATACGTTTTTCTTTTAGTCTCTCTATACCGAGCTCAAATTTATACAACATGAATGCTTGTTTCTGAAACAAAATTACAAATTATATCATAACAAAATACACAAAATTGACTGGACCCTAAGTTTAATTCACTGAAAGAATTCTTCTTGCCTCCGATCACCTTGAACTCCG